ATAGATATATATATATGCTGGTGTCGCGTGGTCTGATGCTCACTGGTTTATGTTCTAGGTTAACGGTGGCTACCTCACCCTTCCGATCATGAAAATGAAACCTCAGTTGTGGCTCAATGTTATCTTATTTTCCTTTTGTAGTTTTGTTTTTGTTAAAATTAATTTTGGTAAGTTTTAAGCGAAAAAAAAAGAGGACTATTAACTAATAGTGTTTGTTAATTAGTTGCTCTTCAAATAGGAAGAATTAGTAGAGTAATGGATCTGTATATCTAATTCCCTGTCTGGCCAATTCCCTTTTTTCTTCTTCTTTTACGTTATATATATAGTCCGATATGCAACATTTTTAACATTTCTCTCTGTATATAAATATTTATAGCACAAGGGAAGAAGAAGAAGAGGGTCAGAATTCTTTTGGGGCATTGCACAAATATAATTTCTTTCTGCTGGGCATGCTGGGCTTGCTCCTCCAACTGAAGTCAGGAAATATTGCATCTCCATTTGTCAGCAACTACGTTACTGTAATCACGTTCACTGTTGTTTTATTTGTTTACGTGGCCATATTGGCGACCGTCAAGAAACTAGACCACCAAGCTGCGATTAATGATCCAGACTTGTCTGAATTCATGGACAACGTTAGCCTCCTGTCTGGAACTCTTGCCTCCGTTTTACTATTGCTGATCCTCGTCCCGGCTCTCGGGTGGCTCAGCCTCCTCTTGTGGGCCATTTATTTTGTGAAGGACGTTGTAACTGTGACATCGTATACCAGTGTAGCTGTTTGTGCCATTGACAGAGTGAAAGAGGTGATGCTGAATCAGAGTGGCCCTTCAATTTCCACGGAGGAGCAGAGTCATGTTCATCAGCAAGAAATTAGAATGGAGGAGGGGCAGAATCACGTTTCATAATTTTAGTTTTCTACCACGTTTGAAGTAAGTACATTATACATACCTGTGAAATAGTTACTATACGTTTCCGGGACACAAGAAAAGAAAAATAAAATGGTTTGTACTGTATATATTTTCAATTTAATTACAGTTGCTCTGCATTGAGTTGTTTTATTACTTATATGCGTTTCGAGGTTATTATGAAATAGTAACTGTTATTCAATCTTATAATCATCAATCATCTGATTATTATTTAACGGATTTTTTTAGTTTCATTCAATTCCCATACTTTCTATTTTTCTCTACGTAAATAATATAAATTGGGTTTTTTTAAGAGTACTTTTATTGTTTATTTTATAAACACAAGGGTATTTTTTGGTATTTTGAATGTTTTACCATTATCTGACTTTTGATTTATATATATAGATAATGCTTTTAATGCCCCTTCTTTTTTCTTCTTTCTTTTGGGGTCTTTTCATACAGTGCCATTCCATTCTAAAACTATTGGGGGTCCAATTTTCCCTATTAAAAAAAAATTTAAAATCAAAGTCCAATTTTCATTTATTTTTTATTTTTTATGTCTATTTTTATGTATATTTATGGCTAGAATAAAAAAATCATAAAATGCACAAAACATACATATAATATACCTAACCAAAAGGCCAAAAGGAAGAATATATGTATAGACATATAAAATTGTGTTACCTTATTAATAGGAAGGACATAATTAGTACGCTTGCATATGTAGAAAACTCAAGAATAATTCCCCTTTGATATATAAGTATGTAGTTACATAAACCTCCGCTACCTAGGTACACAAATGGTGTCAATTTGTATTATAAATGGTTATTGTGTACTTAGTTTCACAATGAATGAGAGAGTTTTTTTTTTTTTTTTTTTTTTTGGTAAAAAGTAAAAAAAAAAAAAAAACATAGAGATATATTATTGGGGGTAAAATGGGCATTGAGAAAAGTCAACCTATCTAGATCAAAAAATCAGTTGACACCTCATCATGGCCATTAATTCAAATTTTGATATAAACCCAAAAATGAGCCTCAATTGATCCTAAAAAAACCCACGGGTTTTTCAAATGAATGCTTGGATTTTTGGGTTAATATCCTTATTTGTATAATTAAGTTCAAATCAAAATAAGTAGAAAAGTTGATTAAATGGGATTCTAATCTTTCTAGGTCTTAAAACAGATCCGAGAACAAACAAATTATATTTGAATTCGATCCATATGGCATATAACTTGATAAGTGAAATGCGATAATCTATATATATAAAGGAAAATGCAGAGAATGGTAAAATATTTAAAATATCAGAAAATGTCATTGGTTAATGCAAACATTAGCTCCTTAGCACATGCGTTGGTTGTCTTTTTTTTTCTTTTTTTTTTAGAATTAAAAAAATATAACATGGTAGTTATGTTCCATAAAAGTAGGATATATTATCTGATTTTTATTATTATTATGAAAAATGTGAATTTACCATATTATCCTCACTTAATTAATAATTTCAATTCTTCATGTTTAAACTAACCAAGGACATTTTATGGTATTTTGAATATTTCACTATTCTCTGCCCATTAAAAAATATTAAAATTAGAAGAAAAATAACACAACTACCCATTATCTTTTTTAATTCTAAAATAAATTTAATTTTTTTAAAAGAAAAAACCTCTTGTACACGCAGAAGCGCGTGCAGAAAGGCTAGTGTTAATTATTCAATTACTTGGCAGATTCAGTTTTAAATTATATAAGCCAATTTCATCCAAATCGCAACATGTCTAGCAGTATTTGCACTTACAAAATTAGAGGAGAAGAGATGTTTGGAGTTGATCTCATTAGAATCCTCAGGCAAAACTTCAAAGGGCCAGCATAATCACTCCCAAGCTCTTCTGTTCCAAGAATATTTTAAGGAACTTCCCCCCTACATATTCACACAAGTACGTTCACATAAGAAAGGTAAGAGAGGAAAGAGAAAATGCCTATCATATGATTTTTCTGCGATGCATTTTATTAGAAACATGAGGCATAGTCTAGGGAAGTAAGGAAGAATAATCAAAATGTGTTTCAGAGAGAGAGAGAGAGAGAGAGAGAGAGAGAGAGAGAGAGAGAGAAATGTAGGCTCTAAATAAGCCAAGATGTGTGTTGTAATTTCTGCTACATTACTTAGCAGTTCATCTGCTTTCAAGAAAATCAAAACTAACAATAAAGATTAACACAAAATTATTATAACCTGAGCACCAAAACAAAAGGGAAACCTCACCAGGATTTGTGTGGGAGAGCAATATCTTGCGCCATTAAATTAACCTGCAGCCATGATGACCAGAATAGCGTTTAGTTATCGGTAACTAAAAATCAGATTTATGGGTGACAATTAAGCTTACAAATTTAAGATCATCACTACTCAAGCTATCTGAATGAAGGAATACTTAGGGAAGATCACATGACTAATTAACTTGATGCCAAAATGCTACTTGAGAAGTGAGGGGGCGATGTAAGCAACGTAGAAACTGAAAATACAAAGTTACTAATTAATTAAAAATAGTGTGCAAATGTAACTTGTGCTGGAGATTAAAGAGAAACCAGCCATGCATGCACTGTTCATTTGATTCGATTGTATATCTGAAATAAGCCTCGCAAAAATATGCCAGCAGCACTGTTCATATGTTTTTCTTGTAACTTGTAAGGCCGTATAGAAAGGCCCTGCAGTTTAAGTTTAGGGCGTACAGAGAACATATACAGACAGATTGAGCTGAAGCCTTGACGTTGATGGCTAAGTTTAGGGCGTGTTCGTATGACTACAAAGTAGCCAAGTTCTTGACGTCCCAAAATTTGTCTTCATGTCAATGTGCTCAAATTTGTCTTTATATTGAAAGGAAAGTTTCAGATTTCGACCAAAAAAAAAAAAAAAAAAGAAGAAGCAAAAATGTCATCTTCATTTGCAATGATATGCAACTAAGAACATCAATCTAACGCTCCCCAACTAATGAACTGAATCAGAAGCCCCTTACATGTATCTAGATTCTGAAAACAAGCAAGAAAAAAAACCCTCTCATAACAAAAATATACATAAACCCCAAATATATGAAATGAGAGTTCAGAGAAAAACATGATTTAGCTCCTTCGAAGCGAGGAGAGGGCCTATAATTGCTATGGTTATTTTTATATGCAAAGAAAAAAGAGAGGGGACCAGATACAAATTGAATTGTTACTAGTTGTTGTGGTATCATGGAGACAATTAGATTAAATAGATGATCAATATTTTGTGTGTGTGTTTGTGGGTAAGTAATTTCCACGAACCTTGCCATGCAAGTTAACCTCTTCCATTAATCTTCTTCCATCTATTCCCAATGTAAACACGGAAAAAGGGGAGAGTGATCCCAACACGAAGCACTTAAGCTGAATACCAACATTTTAAATAGCAATCGGAATGCATTCATTCAGGTATATATTATATCTGTTTTTTTGGTCAAAACATTCAGGTATCATCTAAGGCGAGACTATATATACCCTTGACTTTTAAGGCTTTTTACTGATCTACCCCTCATTTTTCCTTCCAAAATCACAGATTATTTTGTACTAATTTACCCTTGAACTCTCCTTCAAAAGCACAAAGGGAGAAGAGATGAGTTCATATCAACACTTCCTCTGAGTTCTATGTTTGTTCTTCTCAAGGATCGGAGAGCTCTCAGAAGATCGAGTAAGTAAGTTAATACTTCTTTTCTTTCACTCTGTAAAGTTTGCGTATGTTACATTATTGAACATTTCTTTTCCTTATTGCTTCCGCCATCGTACCCTAATTAAATTCCAAAGTCCATGTATTTGGGTTTATAATTAGATATGAACTTTCTTATATTAATTAACACTTAATTATTAATTCCTCTCCTAATCTGTTTCTTTATAGGCAAAGGGCCTTGTACGACATTGGCATGTATGGATCTAGCTCCTAACCTTCCTGTGAACGCCCCTTTACCTCATGCGTAAGTTCATATTTATATTTATCTATCTAAGCCATAGCTACGCTACTCATACATGCATGCGCAGTTGTGCTCCAAGATTTTTTCATTTCACGCCTGAAAATCACGCAGTTCTCTTTGTCATACATTCAGTCTGGTTTATTCATCTAATTATCATAAAAGAGGCGGAGGAGAGCAGAGTTCTACAAAGGCAGTGCACAAATGTATTTCCACTCTCATTACCACGCTAGCCGTGCTTCTCCCACTCAAGCACAGAACCGCATCTCTAGTGGCGTTTGTTGTTGCTTTAATGGTTTACTTTGGTTCTTTGGCTGTCAAGATACTACTCCAAGCACACGACCACAACCAGGATTTGGCTGAGTTCATGGATAGGATTAGCCTCTCCTCTGGAACCCTCGCCTTGAATTTAGAATTGCTGGTCATTGTTCCAGCTTTTGGGTACTTCGCCATCGTCGTCTGGAGCCTTTGCTTTGTGATTGCTGTAATCAAGTCGTACCATGAAAGTGCAGTCGTTTTGAAAAGATTGTATCGGTGTGCAGTTGAAGAACTTGTTCATGCCTTCGACAAATTGAAAGAGCTCTTCCACTTGACCCGGGAGGCCGAGCAGCAGAGTGGGCTTCCTAGCTAGACCTACTACTATTGCGACGTTTTAATTTAGATTCCTTTCTAACGTTAGAAAAAGAAATCTTACTAAATTAAGAGATAATTTTTATATATTTGAAATATTTTATCATATTAGTGCATGCATGCATCACATTGCATGTAGTTTATACATATATATACTTTTTCCACACGTTAATTAAGTTTATTTATTTATTTTTTTGTTAGGACGTTAATTATGTTTATGTGTTGGACTATATATAGATTTGGTATATTGATTAGTTTTTTTAATCAAGTCACAGGTGCCACTCGTACAACCGGCTGGTGCACATTGCATGCGAATCCACCCAATGCATGCATCCAACACACGAAATGCGAAAGTCAAAACCATGGGTAAACGGAGTCAACTAGCATGTAATATATTTATAACCTACGTGGATAAATGTTACTTTAAATATTTCTGAGCTGGAAGGCGATGCACAAAATTAACCCTAAACCTTCCAATATTACCGTCATCAGGAGGTCTCTAATGGGCCTAAAAATGTTTTTATTCTTATGTTACGGGCCCAAAAATGTCCACCCTCATGCCATGAGCCATAGTCAAGGACTCAAGGTAAACAACGCCTGTCATTTTCAATGCCGACATAAAATCAGTGGAAAGCTTTATAACTTTGCTATATATTAGTAAAGACCAGCCATTTTTTATGGCGGTAATTTCAAAAATTAGTTTGTAGAAGAGAGAGAAAGAGGGGGATCACTTCGACTCTTGAGTATCAAAATGCTTGCTTTGTCACCAATCATTTACAATCATGAATGGTATTAAATCTGGGTTCGGATCATTAGGTACCACAACCCAGATTAGATCTCTCTGTAAACTAATTGTTGAAGACCCAGGTTCTCCATCTTCATTTCTTTCAGAAAAGTTCGCTTCTTTCTTGGATAATTGTGCAGAAGCTTTTTCACTGAGAAAACTCCATGCTCGCATTTTAGCTCACGGGCTCGGAAACCATATTTTTCTCGGGTCGAAGCTTCTGAATTGCTATGCAAAGTTTGGCCTTTTATCTGAATCTAGATGGGTTTTTAACAGAATTATCAATGGAAATCTCTCTCTTTGGAATTCAATTCTTGTTGGATATTTCAGAAGCCGGCACTTTGAAGAAGTTATTAGGCGGTACATAAATTTGAAGCAATGGAATGTTGGGTTGGATAGCGCGGCCATTACATTTAGCTTGAAAAGTTGTATTGAGTTGGGAAATTTGGAATTTGGCCAAGGAATTCATGGGGATGCTTTAAAGTCTGGGTTGAATGCAAACGGATTTGTGGGTTCGTCGCTTATTGGCTTGTATTGTAAATGTGGGCGTATTAACGATGCGTCTAAAGTGTTCGAAGAAATAACTGACAGAGATATTGTTGTCTACACTTCAATAATTACTGGGTATGCTCAGAGTGGTGATCAACGTGCCTATGAGGCTTTTCGGTTTGCCCACCATATGCAGAGGCAAGGATTGCATCCTAATCGGGTCACTCTGGTGAGCTTACTTCAGGCAGCGTCACAGTTAGAAACACTAAAAGAAGGTTGTTCAGTTCATGGCTATGCTGTTAGAAGAGGAATTGGTAGTTCGGATGAAGTATTTGAAACGAGTCTCTTGGACATGTATAACAAATGTAAAGCCCCTAGAATGGCAGCCTGCATTTTTGGCAAAATGGATAAAAAAACAATTGGTTCTTGGAATGCGATGATTGCTGGTTATCTTAAAATGGAGCAACCCTCGGAAGCTTTCCACCTGTTCTGTCAAGTGATGCAAGATAACTTTGTCCCGGATTTGATAACTTTGTCCAATGGGATTCTGTCCTGTGCTCACTTGAATTATTTTACATTATTCGAGTTGGTGTTCAACTTGATCTAGTGGCATCCACCGCCCTGGTCGACTTGTACTCCAAATCAAACAAGTTGATCCAAGCCAGGTATTTATTTGAGAAAATGGAGGAAAAGGATGCTATATCTTATGATGTGATGATGGCAGGCTACCTCTACAATTACTTTGCCAGTGAAGCTATGGACACCTTTCTTGAAATGGTTGGAGAAGGCATTAAACCAAACCTAGGTTCCATGTTGAGTGTACTTTCTGCAACTTCTGAGCTGAAAGATATAAGAAAAGGCAAGTGCATCCATGGACATGTATTAAGACTTGGGTTTGACTCAAATGCCGAAATTACCAATCAAATCATCTACATGTATGCAAAATGTGGTTGTATAGGCAATGCGAGGCAAATCTTTAATAAGTTGAGATATAGGGACTTGGTCTCATGGACTTCAATGATGATGAGCTATGTTTATCATGGTCATGCTGATGAAGCCATTGTATTGTTCCGCTTGATGCAAAGAGAGCAGGCAGAGCATGATTCAGTTACTTTTATAACTTTGCTTCAGGCAATTTGTCAGCTTGGAAGTCTGAGTTTAGCAAAGGAAGTTCACTGCCACTTATATCGAGCTAACATGAACAATGATATATCTATCACCAATTCTTTGATTACTAATTATTCCAAGTGTGGGAAATTAAATATGGCTGCAAATCTTTTTGAGCATGCAGTCGAACGGTGTCTGACATCATGGAACACGATGATACTTGCATGTGGGATGCATGGGAAATGTAAGGAGGCCCTAATGCTATTTGAACAGATGAAGAATGTGAAGATTGTGCCTGATCAGGTAACCTTTACATCAATTCTCACTGCTTGTAGCCATTCCGGCATGGTAAACGAGGGCCTGGAAGTTTTCAAATCCATGATAGAAGAATATTCCATAGTTCCCTGTGAAGAGCATTATGGCTGCATGGTAGATTTGTTAAGCCGAGCAGGATTGCTTGAAGAAGCATATAATCTGGTTAAATCCCTGCCATCAGGGCTTACTGCTTCTACAGTAAGAACTTTGCTTGCTGCTTGTAAAGTACATGGAAATACGAAGATGGGTGAGATTTTAGGAAGACGTCTCTTGGATTTAGACCCGGAGAACTCAAGTGTTTTTGCCATGGTGTCAAATTTGTATGCAGAAGGTGGAAAATGGGGTGAAGTAGTCAGAGTAAGAGACGCAGCAAAACAGAGAGGTTTAAAAAGAACTCCAGGGTATAGCCTAATAGAGGTGCATAGATAAACAGGGGTTCGATATGTGAATTTCTCCTCTCGTCCAATTCAATTTTGATTCCTAAGTTTGAATAACCGACCCTCACTTGTCGGTGGTGACTTGCAAACAAAAGATTATGTTTCTTGTACGTAATAGATAATGTTTATCTTTTCCTAATTAAATGAACCTCTTGGTAGCTAATTTAGCTGAGAAAATTAGGTAAAAAGGTACTCTTTCTTTTTGTTAGAAGCTTCTGTCATCATCTACAAGATGACATATTTTGCTCCTGCCAGTCACCAAAGATGGCACACATAACTACAGCAAGCTGACACGAGTTTCGTTAGCTTATAAAAGCCCACTTTCAAATTTCAACTCTCAGCTCCAAACCTCCTACTCTCATTCAATCATGCCAGAACTTCAACCCAACACCCCCAGCCCTCCCTACGATCTGATAATCCTTGGAGCCTCAGGCTTCACAGGCAAGTACGTTGTTAAAGAAGCTCTGAAATTCCTCAACACACCCTCCTCCCCTCTCAAGTCTCTGGCTTTAGCTGGTCGCAGCCCCACAAAACTAACCCAGACCCTCAAATGGGCAGCTCACCCAAACCCGCCACCGCCCATTCCCATCATCACCGCCGACACCACCGACCCACCATCGCTCCACCGCCTCTGCACCCAAACCAAACTTATCCTCAACTGCGTGGGGCCCTTTCGCCTCTACGGCGAGCCGGTGGTGGCCGCTTGCGCCGAAACTGGCTGCGATTACTTGGATATATGTGGAGAGCCTGAGTTCATGGAGAGGATGGAGGCTAAGTACCATGACCGGGCCGTGGAGGTCGGTTCTTTGGTGATTTCGGCATGTGGGTTCGACTCGGTTCCGGCTGAGTTTGGGTTGATGTTCAATTCGAGGCAGTG